GGAAATGTTTTGTTCCTGTATGTTCCTGTATGTCTTAATAATGTAAAACTGGGTGACAAGTCACACTTTCAGCGGTATTTACTATGCTGTACATTGTCATCCCAATAAAGATACTTGAGGAAAAAAAAAACCTTAAAAAAGGATTGGACTCGTAGTAGAGAATGAAAGATGTTAACTGTTTGTGTACCAGATACATTGAGTAGAAACTGACTCCACAACTGTGGTTTACTTATTGCTAGGGACAACTCAGTAGTCGCTGGATATTGGTAGGGACACGTAAATTCCAACACATTCTCATCTTAATGCGTTAGAATTGACGCTTTCAGACAACATGACAAAGTGTAAGTATTTTACGCTAAAGGTACCCTTCAGTGTCCGTATGAAACGCCACTGTTTGCTACATCACAGCAACACAAAGAAGGCTAACCCTACCTGCTAGCACATTGGCCTTGTGGCCGATGTGAACAGCTATAGGGTTAGCCGGTCAACATGCATAGAGTCTGTGACTTAGGTTTAGGTATTAACATTTCTGATGGTTGTCGTAAGGTAAGGGGCTTCGGGGGGCTGTCAACACCTTTCATTCGAACGTAGCTAGCTAGCACTAGCTAGCTAGTACTTCCAGATGGTACGAGAAGCCCCAGAGCGTCTCAAAGAGACGCTGAAGGGTACCTTTGTCGTCAAATAACTACGTTTTGTCACTTTTTTTGAAAGTGTTGGTATTGGACGCCCTGAGATGACAACGGTCTGGTAAATTCTATGCCCTTGGGACAATCACTTAACATTATGTTAGATGAAAGAAGGATTACTTATTGTGATATGTCAAATGTAGAGCAGTCTTGTTAATAGTAAAATATTGTAAAATAGCATCTAATGAGTGAAATCTTATTCCCCATTGCTTGGTTTTGGCATTTCTTTTATTAAAGCATCCAAAAGAATAAAAGTCTAATATTTCCTACTATTTGAACAGAGACACATCTCACAAGCTAGCTGTGTATCTACATGCATATATCTATGGAGGCTGTAGTTTGGATTACATGCTAACATGCTCATAATGACAAAGTGAATAATGTTACCACCTCAGTTTAGTATGTTAGCTTGATTATTGAACATTAGCAAATCACCTGTAAGTACAAAGTAGTTGGCTAAGCCTCATTTATTCAAGAAGTCTCATTTGAGATTCAGGACTCCTTTACAACAGAGACCTGAAATAAAGGTAAATGTATACAACAAGACACTATAGTCACTACTGCTGTATTAAACACATATTGTTTCAAGCTCAGTGTGCTGCAAAGTTCGTTTATTTGATCATTAATAACAAAACATTCACATTCAAAAAGACATACATGATTTTGTTGAAAAATCGATTAGCATAAACACAAGAGGTTTAAGACAATCTAGATCCTAAAAGCAAATGAGTGCCATTGTTTTCTGAGCTTTTATCTTCTTGAAATTGAACAAAGGTTTTAATTATCCAAGTAAAGCCCAAAAAGCGATACTGTGCATCTTAAAATACCATGCTTCTAGACCCTGATGTGAATTTTGACTGTTCACATCAGCAATCTCACTAAAACGGCCTTACAGTATATCACCTCAGAAATATTGCTGAAGTCCAACCTCTTCTCTCCCAGGCGTAAACTGAGAGACCTATGCATGTTTTTTGTTTTGTTTTTTATCACTAGCAGGCTTCATACTGCAATGATCTCCTTTCTGGTGTACCTAAGGAAGCTATAAATAAGTTACAGATTATTCAGAATGTAGCAGCACATGCTGACTCAGAACAGAAGCAAATGATCATTTCTTTATATTACCATTAATTTTGCCATTAAATTTGGCAGTTTGCCGTATTAATGTATTTTCCCTGTGTTGTTGTATTTCAGAAGAGAAACACACACACACACTCTAAGGGAGGAGACAGTTGACAGTGCAGGGTGAGAGATAAACAAATTACAAAATATGACCCCAGGGTCATAACAGGGCCTATATCAGTAATGTCTGATTCGATGTATTTGCAAGAAATAATATAAAATTGTGGTGATCTCTTGCTTCAGAAAGACAAATAAAAGAGAATATTCTATTCCAACTATCCAATAATAAAGCAATTTCATTTTGGCTGAAGACCACAGATAAGCTATTAAAGCATATTTAGCTCAAACTTAAATCTAAATGTACATTACACCTCAAAAGAAGGGTTATGAAAATCCTGTTTTACTACAAATGTAATATATCACGTTCTACTGCTTTACACTGTAGTACACACATTCAGTCCAGGTTTGATCCCTCTGTCTGATAATTAAACAGTTAGCTTACAGTCAAAAGTTTTTATTCACCTCTGCATCTGCTGGGGAGGGAGGTGAAATTCTTGCTTGAGACTCTGGTTGTGGAACAAAGAAAAAGCTATTTTAAAATCCATGTTCAGGGAATACAAGTCGTCAGATACAAATAGCGCCACTTTACAGAGACATCGAGTGGCCAAAGAGAGATATTGGAGAGATATTGTTGCCATCTTTTGAATGATATGTGCGCACAAGATATATTATAAATATATTTTTTGATGAATTTCTGCTCATGAAATAGGCGTATGTATTTACTGAAAGCCAGCTCAAAAGACCGCCCTTGTTTATTATAGTGTTGATTAATGGAAAATGTTACTTCTGGGGGAGTATAAGTTAACAGTTTGAGTCAAGCACATAGTGTAGGTCTTCTACTGTCATTGTGCTTTATTGGTATTATTCTTTTTTCACCTTTATTGTCACTCCAGGGCTCCGTACCAGTTACCTGTTGATTGGCAGCCTTTTCTGTTCATCATGCACACTGAGAAAGCAAGTAAAACCACCAGGATGGAGGTGAATGCAGAAGCTCCATTCGCGAGAAACACCAAGTCAACCTCATCTGCAGAGAGACATCAGGAAAAGCATTTTTACCATCTCTTCTGTTTGTTTCAGAAGTAACAATGAGCACTTTTCAGATGCAACAACTTGTGCTGGAAAGTTACTTACTGTCAATGTCCAGCTTAGTCCCGTTTCAGTATGTGTCCACATGACAGCACAGTAGTAGGGTCCCAGCCTGAGAAAACTTCAGGCTCTTCAATGGCAAGTTGTAGACACAGGTGTGTGTTTTTGTGTTGGAATTCCTCTCACACTGATCGTTCCTGCCTCCATGGGTGTAAATGAGTCTGGACCAGTAAACCAGTAAACACTGTGTTCTCCACCACAGGTCCCAGTCACAGAGGCTCCTGGCTGGATGGGCTCAGATACTGACTGATGGACCAAAACTGGGACGTTCAAACCTGAACCCTTTACACTGACAGTAGTGCCCTCTGCAAATTCAAATTTCTGTGATTTACTACTCACAGAAGTAAGTGGCTGAGTCTGAAATGCGTGAAGTGATATTTACCATTGCCAGTTTGCAGTGTGAAGCGCTTATCGTTCTTGAACTCATCATAAAAAGAGTGATTTTTATTAAACACACTGAGATGCACCTTGGTTTCTGTCCCAGAGCTTGTTTGTACCAGTAAATCCTTGCTGGAACATCAACGTCATAAGAACATTGTAAAGTCAACTTTTCTCCTGCTTTAACTGATAAAAAATCAGTTGAGAAAGTAATATAGTAATGTAACTAGTTACTTTTTTCAGCCAGTAATAAGGAAAGTATTATTACTTTTTTAAGGACTAATAAGTAACTAGTAATATATTACAATTTCTGAGTTACTTTCCCAGCACTGGCTGAGTAGTAGCATTACATGCTGTTTGTCCGCTCTAAACTTATATTATTCTATTTGCCTGCAAAATGTTTGGGGGTTTTATGGGCATGAAATTTTGCTAGGACAGAGGGATTATTTGAGTTAATTTCACAATATCAAATGCTATACTAGGTAACCTAATATTACTGGTGATGTTACATTCCTTGTTCGCTTTGCATCTGATATAAACATATCATACTTTTGTCAGTCACTGTATATTTGTAAAGACAATTTCAAATAACTCTCGCTAGTTTTTTTTTACTCCATTGTTTTTTGAATGCTGTGATTGAATGCTAGCACTTCTTTTGTCATCTGAGGTTCAAAAGACAGCTCTGAGTCACATAGACACCAAGGTTGCAGGCTTCTTTCTGAATGTTATCTGAGAAGACACCCAGGCAAGCGGTTAGATTTTTGAGGTAGCTAGTGCTGGTTCCAACGGGGATAAATACAATTATTTCTGATTTTGTGTCGTTTAACTGAAGGAAGATATTAGACATCCAGGCTTTTATCTCAACGAGGCAAGAGAGAACACCAGAGACATTGGAAGAACCAGGCCTTAATGGGACGTACAACTGGGTGTCATCTGCATAAAAATGGAAATATAAGTCTGAATGATTTTCCCCATGGATAGCATGGTGCATAACAGTGGCCCCAAGATTGCCCTGTAGAATTATTAAGGTCAATAGAAAAACCTTCCTGTTGACTTACACAAAAGTCTGATGAACTACATGGCCATCCACCACCCCAACTCCGAAAGCACATACATAAAGGGCACATACTTTTTTTGCATTGGGACTGAATGTTGGGCCAAATCATGAGGAGCAGAATTATTCAATAAAAATACAATTCTTGGGAATATTGGGCTACATCAATTAACTGCAGACCACAATGAAGATACACAAATATATCTCAAAATCAAAATTGTCATCACACAAATCCAATTTTATTGAAAACACAAAAATTTAACATGTACAGTTCTACTGCTTCACACTGGAGTACACGCATTCACTGTTGGTGTTGTTCCTCTGTTTTCTTGATCTGTTAGGCAGGTTAACATTTAAAGCAGCATAATGGAGGCTGTCTGCATCTCGGTAACCCTGGTAACAAAATATACACAACTGGATTACGATATTGATATATATCGATTGATATCAACAAAACAGTTGGTTGTTTTGCAATGAGAATTTTTTAATGGTAATCAATGAAGTATTACTATTATGAGTCATTTCACCTCTGAAGTTGTTGTGGAAGGACTTGATAATCTTGCTTGAGACTCTGGTTGTGAAACAAAGAAAACATTCTTTTATTCAAAAGTTGTATTTAGTGAATAGAAGCCATCATAAAAAAACAGTAACACTTACCTGTACATTGGCAGTTGTTTTTCTTGATTATCTTGTACACCAAGAAAGCCAGTAGAACAATTAGGATGGTAGTGAATGTCAAAGCGCCACTCAGGAAATACACCAAGACAAGAGAATCCACCTCATCTGCAGATTCAGACATCAGAAACAGAGCTTTCAGCTTTTACCTCTGTGGTCACCCAAAGCTTGATTGGAAGGTAACAATAAATAACTAAATAGGACAACCTCTGCTGAAAAGTTACGTACACTCGATTTCCAGCTTGGTCCATTTCCAAACAGTACATGTCCACATGAGGCAACAGCACAGTAGTAGGTCCCAGCATGAGAAAGATTCAGGCTCTTCAATGCCAAGTTGTAGACACAGGTGTGTGTTTGTGTGCTGGATTTCCTCTCACACAGATCGTTCCTGCCTCCATGGGTGTAAATGAGTCCTGGATGAGATTCTTCAGAGGTTTTGAACCAGTAAACACTGTGTTCTCCATCACAGGTCCCAGTGTGTACTGTACAGTTCAGAGTCACAGAGCCTCCTGGCTGGATGGGCTCAGATGCTGACTGAAGGACTGAAGCTGGGACTTTCAAACCTGAACCCTTTACACTGACAGTAGTGCCCTCTGCAAAAGTCAAGACAAATGTATAGCTAGTTGCGCAGTAGTAAGTAGCTGAGTCTGAAATGTCCAAATCATATATTGTCAAGTGATTTGCACCTTTTACAGTATCCAGAAGCGTGAAGCGTTGATTATTCTTGAATTCATGATAAAAAGTGGTTCTTCTATCATACACATAGAAGGTAGAGATGAGCCTTGGTTTCTGTCCCAGCGTTTGCTTAAACCAGTAAAGCCATGCTGAATTATCACGTTCATAGAAACATTGCAGAGTCACATTTTCTCCGACATTAGCTGATACAAAACGTCTCTCTTGATGAACAGACGAGGGCAATTTGGGATCTGTAATCTGAGCTGAAATGAAATGAAAGACAAAGCAAATGCACGATTAATTAAATTTAATAGACTTCAGTGTAATTTCTATACTAAAATTAGAAGCATTTCCATGAAGAGTTGCTATAAAGTAAAATTGGAGCTGCTGTAGCCATAAAAACAAAACTCACCCACGAACAAACATATCAGACAGAAAACAAACTTTGGAGATCTCATCGTGTTCAAATATGTATGTTGAATGAAAGGGTCTTGATACTTTCCCCACTCTTAAGAGAAAAGACTGTGTTTGATTGGCCAGCCTGATGTGACACTATGTCCTCCTTAGGAAACATGATCACATGTTCACTGCCACCTATAGTGTTTGGTTCTTGAGAAGATTCACATGTTGAGAGGTACAATGATGAAAACAAATTCATCTTGGCATATTCAAAATTAGCGAACAAGAATTTCCATATATATACAGCACATCAGAGCATGTTTATAGTTCATTTAGAATGTTTAACTAAATTCATAATCATAAAAAAAAATATTTCCTGTTTATTTCTTCTGGGGGGGTTTTTTTCCACAAAATGCTCTGAGTTTGACTTGAGTGGAGGAACTCATTTACCCTTTGTTAAGGATTTCTTATGCTCATCTTTTACTTGCAGATGTTTCCCAAGACTGGTGTGATGCTTCAACTCAATGTCTCTCGCACGAGTTAACGGTGCTCACGTTCATTATTTGAAAAATAATACATGGTCAGTGCACCCTTTACTGAAAATATGAGCATGTTCAATAAACGTCTTGTAGCATACTCATGCCCTTCAAGTATCTTGGCAACATTTGGCAATGGACCACTACATCCACCAGATAAAATAACATGCAGGTATAATAACTTATGTACCTGTCAAAAAAGGTGTCAGTAATAATGTTAGGTAAAAAGGAAACTTTAAATCACCTGCCCAAGAGTTTAGATCTTAGACATTACTTGTATCACAGTTTATAATCTGATGTTTCAATATGCCCTATGCAACTAAAGTATTCTATCCATTGTTTTTGTTGTTGTAAGTAGTACTCTAAATAGTATTTCAATTAAGTAGTTCTACTAATATTAGTATTTGAATTACTAGTATTAGTGTTAGTATTTGCCTTTTCTGTGTGATCAAATATGACACAATAATAACTCCCCTGTGTTTGGATGTTTTAGTGGTTCTTAGCTTAAGGAAAAGTATGTGGGAGTTCCATCCTCTCTACATCCTGCTGAAAACCACAGTAGCTGCTGCACTGAGAGAGATACAAAGCAAAAGCATGGAGGTAAAGGTTGAAGGGTCTCAGTGTAAAGACTGCTTCATTTCTGTTTTGCATTCATAGAGCAGCAGTGCCAAAAATAAACTTTGCATTACTACTACTGTTTGGCATAAAACCTATTCTGCAAAACATGTTAACTTCACCCTGTTCTTCAGCATTAGTAAGACTAAGACCTGAATACCAATTATCACTGTGCACACAACAAAATCAGTCAGGGACAACACCCTGTTCACTTTCTACCAGCTAGGAGTGTAGTGATACATACTGGTATAAGGTGAATACCCACCTCTGTGTAGGGGGATCTACCAGAGAAGTTGCAATGTTCTTGGACACTTTTTTGCAATAAAATTTTGGAAATAAATGAAAACTCCATGATAAACTACATCAACGTTACATCTAACCATGCATATTTATACCAGCTTACCTTGATGCTTTAAGTGCTTGCAATCGACCCTTCGCAAAGCCACAACCACTTAGTTACTGTTGCTAAGTGCGACAAACTGTCAGACCTGTCAGACTCAGCATGGTGCTGCCACTGTCTCTAACTGTACTCCCTGGAGAAATATTGTTGAATTTTTGGAAAATCAAAAAGGCGATCTCAGAAAGAAGGTGACAGAAAGGTTTGCATTATACCTTTGAAGGTTGTATTCAGGCTGTCAAAGTGATGTGAAAAAATAAAGAAAAAGCTATGGCCTACCAATCACAGAGTAGTAGTGAACCACTGCATCACCTCACGATTGAGACAGAGGACAATGATTAGAATTAGCACTGTTCCTGTAAAGCTGGGTAGGTCTCTAGTCAGTTTTACAATCATTAAAAAGCAAAAACAGTAGGGCTTTATGACATTACATTTAGGTTAGCTAGCGTTAGCTAACTAACATTACATTCGGAACAATCCACAGCCTACATTTTCTGGATTTGTTTTAGGTTTTGGAATGGGAATACATCGTACTTCTCCTTTCAACTTCTCCTGGTCAGGACTGTAACTATTACAAGTGCCCCAGGAACAGCGTTTGACCATATCTTGGTAAAAGTCGGGAAAAAATTTAGAAAAAGACTCATTTCTGAAACAAGTCTACGGAGCATCGCCATGAAAGTGTCGGACCTCAGTTAGAGCAAGTCCTACACTGTGCTGTGATTGGCCACCTTGCATATTCGGGGCGTGGCTTAGAGAAGGGTGAATTGAACTGCCTGTGTCACAGTGATTTGTCTCGTGTGACATCCTGTGTGTGTTTCGTCATTCTCTGCATAGCCTTTACAGTGGCAAAGTGTTTGTCAATAGACGATTTCCTTTTTTGTTTGACCGCAGTGCTTCTTCAGTTTACCCCTGCCTGCTTTGGGAAAGAAGATCTGGATATTTTTTCATGGTCCTTTGCTGTTATTTTTATTGGCAAATGTCAGAGATATTGCTATCACACATGTCTGCTGTGTCTTGTAAACAAGGAAGAGAGATTGCTGATGTGTCACAATGTTTTGCCAGAAACAACGATAATAGGTCAGATTTGCAGAAAAGTTGCGGTGATTGATCAAAATTGCAAATTGAGCTGAACTCACTGGAATTTGTTGAATTTGTTGTAATAGCAACATTGCAAAATCCTGGCGGGACATGTTAGAGAGCTTCATCACTTGAACAAAACCATAAGTCATTTTGGGGCACTCGCTCAAACAACTGATGCCCTTGTTGTTTTTTAGGACAGTCTCCAACATACGTGCTCGTCTAACATAAAGTTAGATAACGATGTTACGCCAGCGGCTGCTGCACCATGCAAGAGTGTGTGTTGATCAGTAATGGAGGAAGTATTCAGATCCTTAAAGTAGTAATACTGAAGTATAACAATACTCCCTTACAAGTAAAAGTTATAAATTGAAAATGTACCTAAAGTAAAGGTAGACTACGACTAAGTTAGACAGGCTTCATTCTAATCCGAACAGAAGCACTACTACTACTACTAGAACCTCATTTTTGTATACATTGTATATATTTTGTTGGTTAACAGACATTTTCTCTGTACAGAGACACCCTGCAGTGACTGTATGACACTGATAAATGACACCCTGTGGTTTCAGGGTAATGAATCATTATTTATTAGATTAACATCAAACTCTATACTTTTGTGAAATGCACACATTTGATTTTTTTGGATTTTAGAACAGAGTTCTGAAGGTTGTCTGTAATCTTTTGAAAACCTTGTTTGGGAGCCAACGGAATACGATATCTCAGCATAAAAACGGACAATACAATTTTCAGTTGGAAATTATTTACTTAGTATCATTTATCAAACATGATTGAAAAAATCTGCAACAACAGTCTGAACTTTACCAGAAAGATTCCACTGTAAGCTGAATCATCAACACCAATGTAAAGAAGTTTTAACCTCAATGTGACTTTCCTAGTTAAATAAAGGTTAAGAAGATTTGATAAAATATTATGATCAACATTAAATCTATCTGATCTACACTGACTGCAGCAAAATCTTGCCTTTTATCAAGCAATTTAACAATGTCATCCACAACAGCAGTTATTGTAATATGACCAGGTATCCTGACCTCTTTGGATTTAGGACAGGATGGGCAAGTATTGTGAGCTAACCAGTGATTCTGCTAAGAGAGAGAAGAGTGTGGATGTAGGTCGATAGTTGTTGAGGTCAAAAGAATCACTACTGTTGTGTAACTGAGCTGTTTTCCATATTACAGGAGTTTACCAGAGGTAAAGGTTGAACCAAAAATATGCACAAGGAAAACAGGAGAGTCAAGCCTAGGTACTGCATGTTAGATTTGTCCTCACCAGGAGACTTTTCTATGTTAATGTTTCTCAGTGTATCACTGTATATACCCTGAGCATTTAACATTATTGAAGGAAACACAGTTGTAATGGTGGGGTAGCCAAGCCTGATCCCTTCACCTTGCTCTTCTACATGATCAATACACTAAGCACACTCCACTAAAATCTGATCAACTGTCACTGTGTATGCAAACAATCAAGCAAGCAGTGGAAGAAGGATTCTGTTCTATTGCCAAGGCTTAAATGAATGCAATAAAGATCA